CACATCACAACAAATAAATACTCAAAGAGATGAAGTTGGGGCCTAAGTACATCAGAAGTCCCAAATCCATATCCATTACTAATAAGTACAGAAAATGTAACAGAAACACTCACTGCAATTCCGGAAATTCTGGAGTTCAAAGATGTTGCTTATTTAAAATTATCTAATAATCTTCCAATAATATCGAACCATCTTCGCCCTAAAATGATTATTCATGGATGCCGCGTATTTCAAAACGAATCCAGTCGAAATGCAAGAGCAACATCAACTAATCATTTAATGCCAAAATCTTGGTTTTTTTCAACGAATCGGTAATGAAGAAGGAACTAAAATAAACGGATCTTGGTTATTATATTCACCCAAAAAAATAATGCAGCGTACTGATTTGTTGTTTACTGTTTGTTACATCAAACTCCGGTACACAGTCACCTTTCGCAACAGCATCTGGTTTTAATAAATGGAGAAAAAAAAGATAAATTGATTAGCCATGAAAGAAGTCAAATTCATCAAAAATCGTTTACAACATGGAAAGAAGCAGAAAGAAGATTAATTAATAAAACGGGAATAATGAATCATTAGAAGCAAATATACAATCTGAAAAAGAACGGTGGCGAAACATATTGCAACAGATATTAGCTTGTATGAAGTATATGGATTATATAAATTCTTCCTCTACGTGGTCACATTGAAATTCATGCTTCAAGACGGTACAAATGTCGGAAACTTATCTTTACTTAAACTTGTAGCTCAGCTTGATCCACTGCTAGCTACTCATCTAAAAAATGTCATAGAAACGCCAAGAACTGTCTCATACTTATTACCACAAATCCAAAATGAATTTATTCATCTTTTGGCATCCATAGTTCGAAATCAATTAATAAGTGGCATCAAAAGAAATAAATATTACGGACTTTTATTTGATTCGACTCTTGATATTACTCATCGACAACAAATGTCGCAAGTCATTAGGTATGTAGATATTGATTTTACCAACAGAAACGTTTCCATCAAAGAAACTTTTTTAAGATTTATTGAAATATATGCTAAAGATGCAGCCTCAATTGAAAATACAATTTTAGAAAAAATAAATTCCGATCAGATTTCATTAACAAATTGTAGATTACAATGTTATGATAATGCTGCCGTGATGTCAGGTCACATATCTGGCGTTCAACAAAGAATTATGGAAAAAATAATAAAGCATTATTTGTAAATTGTGATAACCACTCATTAAATTTAGTAGGAGTCACTGCAGCTAAGCAAGATCCAATCGTTATAACATGCTTTGGAATAATTGAAAACATATATCTCTTTTTCTCACGTTCAACATTACGATGGGAATTATTAAAAAATGCTTTAAAGAAAACTGTTAAACATGAATCTGAAACACGATGGAGAGCCAAAGCAGAAGCGGTTAGCGTTATTGTTGGAGGACTGGAAGAATTAGTAGAATTATTAGAAAAATTAGCAGAGGTTACTACTGCCACAAGTGACACCAGAAGTGAAGCTGCACTTTTATTGCAAAATATGCTGAATTTTAGTTTCATAACTTTAGTCCATTTCTGGCATAAAATCTTGAGGAGAATTGATCGTGTGCAGCTTAGGTTACAAGATCCTAAAATGAATTTTAGAGAAGCGTTCTTGATCGTCTGCAGCAGGAAATAAATAAGCGACCTAAGTGATCTTAACTCCAAATTTGGATTTTTACTGGATGTTGAAAATTTATTAAACAAGGGTAACGATCATTGATAACATTGATATCAAACACTGATAACGATCTTGAAAAGAATTGTAAAAATTTGGGTGAATTTTATACAGTCAAAAGTCGTTAATCCGGACTCGTCGGGACTTCGGCAATTCCGGATTATCGATTTTTCCGGATTATAGATCATCAGTTTAAATCTCGTAAGATGGCATGCAGAAATTCTAAAATTAAAAATATGAAACCGTAATTTATGAAATAAAGAACAATTATGATCTAAAGGGTATCAAAATTTGCAAAAAAAAAGCTTAATATTTATTTGTTTACTTTATTAAACATTTCTTTCAATGTAAGTTGTTTAAGTTTTGCTTCGTTTCATGTGATAATACTTTCTCTTTAATTCTATTAAACAGACATAATTTCTTGTTCAGTTACAAAGTTCCGCCGTTCAAGTCCTATAATTGCTGTGTCAAGAATACCGACTAATTTGTCAATCGAAATTTTTTTGTTTTCAATAACCTCTGTCACTTTTCTTCGCTATCGGAAGCGAATTATAATGACGAGGAACTTGTTTTAAATCATATCAAAGACGGAGCATATCGAGATGAAATACTAATTTGGTAAGGAATTATAAGCCAAATAAAATAAAAACATCTGCGCTGAAAGATAAAGATAGTGCTGACAAATCAACTTCCAATTCATTACGCGCGCCCGCCGCCGAGCAGCGTGAAATTGATAAACAGATTTCGGATTTCAAAACATACTTTCGCTTTAGATCCTTTACATATTAACAAATATATATCGGAAATTCTATTTGATATAATCGAAAGTTTTAAGCCTACTTTTATAAAATTGCTCTTACAGTCTGCAAAAAATAATAAAGCCGGATGCAATTCGAAAATTAAGGAACAACGCAATCATCAACATTAACTGAAATAGATAATTATTTAGCTTATACGTCCATTATACATAAAATGCGCACGCGAAAACGTATTCTGCACTTGCGCACACTCATATGCGCAGTCGTAAAAGGTCTTACGCGCACGCGTGAACGCCTCTGCGCATGTGTCAACGCGGCGCATGCGCAGAAAGTTTTTAGTTTTGATGTCCGGATTATAGATCATTCCGAATTATGGGTGTCCGAATTAACGACTTTTGACAGTAATACAGATTTTAATGGAACAGAACTCTATCTCGAAATATGTGATTGCAAGATGTTACTCACCAGTAGAAAAAGTTAACCTAAAAACTCCATTATAATATCGTATGGAGAAGATGTTTTTCCAAACCTGAGAGTCGCTCTACAAATACTCCTTACTATTTCAGTATCAATTGCTAGCTGTGAACATTCGTTCAGGAAATTAAAATTAATTTTGACACATCTACGATCAACGATGGGACAAATCCTAGGTGACCTAGTATTTTTAAGTGTAGAAAGAGGAAAATTTTAAATGATCAACTTTGATGAAGTAATTGATAAAATTTCTTCATCAAAGGCAAGAAAAATATATACATAATAATTAATTGTATTCATTTATTATAATATAATATTATAATATTATTAAATATAGTGACCTTATATATATTAACTTTTAAATTGTTTGAAAATTATACTTTTTTAAAAAAATTAATTATTTAAGTATGTTAAATAAATAACAACTTTAACTTATTCTAGATGACCATATGTCCGATTTTTCTACTGACAGACAGATTTCCGAATCCAATTCCAGTCTTGGTTTTTTAACAAGATTCTTTTGCCTCAAATTTAAATTTCTTTTGGCTAAACTATCTCAAGCCTAACCTGAGCCTGTATCCCTATGTATCTCGAAAAACAGAACAGTATTTTGTAGAAGAGTACTTGCAGTGACTATTCGTAATATATTATAGAATGTTTTAAACTAGGTACTGTAACCCTTTATTTTTGCCTTATATTCTTATTACGAGTATATTCTATATATTACATTACTATATGTTTTTTGGGGGGCGCCAGAAAGGTATCGTGCCCCGGACGCCAGTTATGCTAGCTACGCCACTGGATTGAGTCGTACATGGTTGTTTAGGAAGATATGAATATTTATTCTTTTCTTTACTTTAAAATTGTCTTATACTACTACTTGAAAATTCCTTGAATTTTTTCTTATTTAAAGTGTATGTAAACAATACATGTAATGCTTTTAAGTATGTGTATTAATTTTTTTCTATTTAGTACAAAGATCCTTGGGCCCCTTGCATATCATTAGAGAATAAAACTGACTCAAAAACTGAAATCTTCTTAGAAGCATGTAATCTTCTATGGAGTTTATGGTAAGAATATATTTTAATTTTTTCAACTTTACTTCTGCAGAAATTTATTATTAATTCCTATTTTGTCCCTATTAATATAGGATAATTATGTTTTTTTATGTTATATTTATCATTTATTCATTTATAATAGAAAGATAAACCATTTTTCAGATGTCTTATAAAAGTGATTTTTAACGATACAGGGTGGTCCAAAAGTTCTTTTTAAAAAGTATAATCAAACTATAGAATCACAACAGTTTTACTCATATTGTAATTAGAAAAAAGTTGTTTAAAAAAATTCCATTATCAAATGTAATTTGTCACATCACCAAGTTTTAACTAACTCCATGTTTTAATTATATACTTTTTTTAGTAGATTTTCCCAGAGCTTGTGAGTGGCAGTATGTGTAACATTTTGTTTGTTGTGGTAAGAATTAAAGATAGGAATTCCTTTTGCTGTATATATAAGTTGTTTTCCTGTGAATTAAATACATTACATGTTCACTTTCCCAAATCACAATGCTGGTAGCATATTTTATTCCTTATCTTAACATAATCTATTGTTAACTCTTGATTTCTTACCTATCTTTCAGAAAGTGAAAGAGAATATATTGTCTTATCCCCGAGCTCTTTCTTAACTGATTTCCGGCAAACTGACGTTTCAGACTTGGATTTATTTTCAATGCCCTTGCTTATGTTTTTCAGTTACATTTCTAAGAACAATTCCTTAATTTTTACTGGCAGTTTTTGAGAATGTGTACTGTGTACTTTTTGTTAGGAAGTAGGTACTTATGTATGCAGTTTTCAAGAATAAAGCATGAGATGGCTAAGATAGAAAAGTCAGCCTATGGATTGATATTTTGAGGATACTCTGTGTATAATTACTTCCAACTGTGTTGCTAAATTTGATAAGCTGATCAAAGGCTTAATTGACATTTAGAATCTTAATTTAATCAATTTTCCCACTGATACTGTAAAAATAAATGTTTTCTTTACAAATTGTGTAATTATTGATTGTTTTTATTTGTAAGAGAGCTCTACAGGCCATGCTTTGACCCTTCTTCATATATTCATTTTTAATTTTTGGAGTTTTTCCTATCTTGAAATCAAGAAAATATGTAAAATAAGAAATGCAGATTTTTCAGGTATGAGAAATGGATTGTTTTTAATCTTTTTGATACGTTTCCTTAAACATTCCATCCCAAAAATATCATGGGCACGAGAAATAGAAGGCAAAACCTCACTTCATAATTTTAGTGGGAATCAGAAGGAAGAGGTTAAAAAAGATGAAATCAGTAGCTGTCTGTTTCAAGAATGGGAGATGATGAGCTTAGATCTCCTGTTAACCCACCTCTAGGGAAATTTCTTAGTCAGAAGGTTGTATGCATTTTATCCAGTGAGGCAGAACCAAGTATCTGTGAAATAGTATTTTGATGCAAAGGAGAAATTTTGAATTATGGTAGAATTTTTTATTATTTCTAAGTAAATTCCTTTTGTAACAATAGATTTGATTAAAAAAAAGAAAGAAAATAAAAATTAAAGTTTTAAAATTACTGTAGCAATCTTCCATATTGGTAATTGCAGCTAAACGGCATTATTATAACTTGCAATCAGTCCTATCCTTTTCAACTTGCTTTACTAGATCATTCTGAAAAGCAGCATTTTAAGTCATCCCTAAAGTAAATAGTCACTCTGGCATTGAGTCATTACAAAGATGTTCTCCTCCGTGATTAAAATGGAATAGTTCAGCTCGGCATAATGAAGCTGTTGAATATTTCTCAATGGATGTTTCGTGAATGCATAAAAAACTGCAAAACAGTGTTCAGATAGATAAGCCAGAAAAAGTTGGCTGAATGAGGTCGTGCAGTGAATCACTGTAAAAAGTATGTCCAGTAATGGAATATATGTTTGATGTCAGAGTGATGCTGTTCTTGTAGATGTGCCATAGGAAGAGTAAGTTTTCTGATGAACAGTTACAAATCTGGTTTTATTTTTGGTGGGTGGCTAGTAGAGGTTGGCTACTATTATGCTGATGGGCTGAACTTTTAAGGATTATGTTAATTTCAGTAACAGTTAAATTTTGAGTTAAAGTTCCTTTCATATTAATTCTTAACTTCAACTTACCACTTCCGGCCAGAATGTAGTTTTAGAATCACGTCTGAATACATAATGAGAAAGAGCGGTATTTAATTGCAAAGTTTTTTGGTCTTAGAGAGAGATACCAGGTATTCTGGCTGCACGTGTCCGCCTTTTTAGGCTACTCTCTCGTAAGCTATTATTATGCTCGGCCATACTTTAGGCCCTTGATAGCTTCGCAGTCTATTAACATTAAGGGGCCAACTCTGATAGAATTTTGATAGCTTCGGCTATCTCTATTATAGGATTATAATTATTATAATCCTATTTTATAAGATTATAATTATATATTTATATTTTATAGGATTATAATTATATTATATTATATTATATTATATTATATTTTAGAGGATTATATTATAGGATTTATTATATTTTATAGGATATTTATTATATTTTATAGGATTATAATATTATAGGATTATACCTCTTTTATACGATTTTTTAAAATTAAGTCTGAAGTTAAGTTAGTAAAGTTAGATAGTTGCTAATGGTATTCAAGGTTTGTATTAAAGCTGGTACATTCTTTTTTTTGTTCATGAGGCTGAGACTCGCCACCATCTTGCTTATCTCATTTATGTACACTGGTGATTGTACACAAAGTAGCTGAACTAGATTGTAGCCATTGGTAAGTGGTGAAAGGTATACATTATAGATGTTTTCTGTTAGAAACCATAGAAAGTACCCAGGTAACCACAGCTTCTCATTTTGTGTTTCATTATATCAAAGAATCTCTAAGGAGAAGAATAAAAGCTTCCATAGACGCAATGTAAACCTGTTTCGCCTCTGCGCCACTGTACCGAAGAGCCACGGCAATGCAGTGAAACACCAGCCCAGGGTAGAATTTAAACAGCGCAGTTCGAGGAGATAAAAAATTTTTTACTTTGAAATAACTCAAAATGTTTTATTTTCATACATTTCTGGAGTTTTATGAGCAAAAGGATGTTAGTTGGAATTTTGGGCGAATTATAGAAATCGTGTCCAATTTTTACTTTCAATTTAAACAGCGAGCCATACGAAGACAAAATTTAAATGAAATAAATTTCTTAATTCTTTTCTTCTGTAAACTTAAAAAAGGGGGGAAAACACATGCCATACAAAATGTAATAAATTTTTTGAATCCATAGTTAAAATTGTGCAGTGAAATTTTAAAAGCAAAATTTGCAATAACTAACTGAAACATTAAAGGCACCCTTAAATAAATTGAAAACACTGAAATACATTACAATTATCCGACAATAACTTTAAAAACAAATTACCATTGCAACTTTTAGACAATTATTTGGAATGACCATTGTGAAAACCAAGAGCAAAGTTTTCACCCAATAGCCAAAACCTTTTCACTTACAGCATTACATTTAAAAAGTCTTTAAAAGAATTTCACATAACTAAAACCAAAGTACCTCTGACTACAACAACAAAGAACCTTTTCGAACAAAGAAAAAGATTTCGTGGTAAAGATTGCTAATATGGCCAACGGCATGCTGCTTTGTTGCCTCCTAATGTTATTTCGCACATGCGCAGTGAGCTACGGAGGGTGGATAGCTTTGGGATGGTTTGCCCCTTTAAAGTAAGCTTCAGGGATATTCATAATGTGTCTCTTCGGTCTGACGGAGCCACATTTGCCTCGGGGAACCTTTACTTCTTCTCCTTAGAGATTCTTTGATTATATACTCTCTGAATCGTTGACATCAGCAGGTTGTTTTCATTGCTATATAAAATTATATAAAATGCGTATAAGAAGGGAAGAAGAGTATCTTGAATTGAGGATTTGTGTAAAGTTTTGTGTTGCATAAGTTAATACAGCGTGTTTCAAAAAGAATATATGTATTTTGAATGCATATATTTATTAAACTGTATGACATATGAATATGAAACTTTATGCACATATGTACAAACCTCTCAAGTTCAGATTACAGATGTTACAGATGTTCAGTATGCCCTCCGTCAGCGACACGGAAAATATCACATCAATACTCAAATTCCTTCCATACTCAGGCAAGCATGTCCGCCGTCACTGATGTTATGACACTACAGATCTGGTTCTTCATCTCTTCCAGGTTCTGTGGAAGTGGTGGTACATAAATGTTGTCTTTAATGAAACCCCACAGGAAGAAGTCGCAGGGTGTCAAACTCGAGAACAGAAAGTGATTTCTGCTTTGGAGTAGCCATTTTAAATATGTGACGGTTACCACGCAAAACAGAAGACAACCGACATCTAGCGGCTATTAATATAAACTAGACTATGTATTTGTTTCGCCAATAGCCGAGCTGAGGTGCAGTGATCGATAGTTTGGACAAAATAATACTTTGTAATACTTATATTCTTTTTGAAACATGGTGTATATACCTTACTTACTGTTCCATATTATCTTTTAACATATCAGCATGCAGTTATTGAAGGAATTGCATATTTTAGAATATTCTTTTTAAATCACCTGAAAGATATGTTTTAGAAGTGTACTAATATTTTCTTTATTTTCCCCCACTCTGTTGCCTTTGAATAAAATAGGGATTTTATTTACACGTAAATATTTGATTGCTTCATTTACTAGTTTATGAAATGACTGTATTTGCTTTTTTTAATAACTGTTTGTTATCTTTTGTATGAATTACTTTTGCAAAATTTTATACAAATAATTTTAAATAAATAATATAAAATTTATACAAAATATTACAAAGATATTTTTTCAGTTTTTTCCTTATCTTTATGTATTTCTTTCTTTCTTCTGAAAAATCATTGCAGAAAGTATAGTAATAAATAATGAAATCTAGTTTTTTCAGTGCAGGAACTGTTCCTATGTGTATTTTGTATATGTCTGTGATTTTATCTTTAGATGTTAAGAAAAACAGTCTGATGATGTAGCATATGTTAAAGTCATTGTTGGCAGTGTAAACATATAATAATGTATAACGAAATAATAAACATAAATCTAGCTTTCAGTATAGGGGTTGTTGCTATGCTTTGTTTGTATATGTCTGATAATGCAACACATGTTAAAATTATTGTTGGCAGTGTTTGCAGTTGGATAGCTGAAAGCTGATGTTCATTGCTATTCTACATTGCAAGATCTACAAATAATATCTGATCCTGACTCCTCTGTGGTAATAACAGGACATTTGGAGTAATCAATTTATTATCAAGTTAACAGTTATTATCAAGTTAACATTTGGATTAATCAAGTTAAAAGCACACTTTCACCTCAAGCACTTACTCATCATGTCTTTTTATGGCAAGCAGAGTAATATTAATTAATGGCAAGCAGAATTAATTTCGTTATTAATATAATGTTCTTTGTATTAAAATACTAATAACAAAATATTTAGTTTCTTCTTATCTAGAAAATATGTGATTTATTTTTATGCATGTTATGTTTAATGGTTTAAAAATTATGCATTCAATTAAGAACTTGTTTACTTTTCAGTGAAAGCAGTGATACTGCAGTTACTGTGTTTAATACAAAGAATCTTGTTTCTGTCTTATTGCCATGCCTAGATATTTCAGTTTATGGCCTTCAGATACCTCTAGCAGTTGGTAAGTTTGTTTATTTTTCTTCATTACTATTATTTTTATTTAAATGTAATTGCAATAAAATTGTAATTATTATATGATTATTATCCTTTTAGCCCAGTGCCTTCACACAGTTGTTGAAGATAATTCTGAAGTCATTGAGGTATTAAAACAGCCCTTAGTTTTAGAACAGTTAAAAGCTTTGATGTGTCTGTCACCCACCGAACCAGAACATATTTTGCTTAAAACTCTAGCAGCAGGTATGCTATACTTAAAGGAAAAGTTTTTTTTTCTCTTTAGCATTTAGCTAGTTACACAATAGATACAGTACATTATATTTATTACATAGGTCTGCATGAAAAAGCATTTTTAGAGATTTTAGCTTTCTTACTGTAACTATGAACACTTAATTAAAAAATGGCATTAAAAATTATGTATCATGTATAATTTTTTTTTTTTTTTCAAACTTGACCTTTTTTATTACATGCTTGGGATTTTGTTAATATTTGTTTCTTGTAACTAAAATGTTCAATTTAAATGAATTGTAAAAATTTTAATGAACATAATTATTATATATTCAATAAAAAAGGATTGATTACTAATTTTATTATAAATTATGAGTTTAAACTTTTTCTGACGTTTTATTGACTTTTATCAAGAAATCCTAACCAGTAAGCTTTTTGCATGATATAGAAATGAAAATTCCTTCATAATCATTGATTAATTATTTTATAATAGAAGATATCATGCATGATGGTAAAGAGTCTTGAGGGGGATTTTTTCAGGATATAAAAGAAAAGACTGGTTTCATTAACATTAAAAAGGATTTAGCTGATATTACCTCTTTGGATAAATTCTTGAATTTTTAACAAATTTGGCTGAAACATCTTTTTCTTAATTTATGAAACGATACAGCATTCTATGATGTAATTAAAATTTATGTAGCACTTCAGTGAAAAAAATTGTCTCATGTTTCACATTCATCCACTATGTTATTTCTTGTATGTTTTCCTTTAACAGAAGCCCATTTGCAAAAGAAAAACTTTAGCAAAATGCTGTTTGAACGTCCAGATATTTCATCTTGAACACAGAACTTTTTTGAAGTGGATTTTCTGCAAGCTGTTGTTCTTTCTTCTAATATCCTTCTTTCAGAAATATTTGTTTTCAATGTTGACACAAGAATATTCATTTTTTATAGACAGTTATATTTCCATAAATTCTGCAGTCTTGTTAAATTCATTTAAAATTTCAATTTTATCTTTGAGGAAGACTGCTTTTCATTTTCTGGACATTTTAGTTGCAAATTATATTTAAAGTCGGGGTGGGGGTAGGGGGGTCAATCAACAAAATGTTAACACCTGTTTAGCAAATGATTGAGGTGTCTCCCAAACATAGGGATAGAAGCCTCTTCCAAACTTTTCTGGGCAATAGAATCCAGTGTTTACTCTATCCAGTCTAATTATACAGTCATAAAATTCAATGTAAATAATTTAAATCATATGTGACAGTTTTTAAGATACGTGTGTAAAGAGCTTATTTTTAAATTATTTGTAAATATATAGAAAAATAGGTATTTGAAACATTATTTGTTAAAAGTTAATATAAAAACTTATATTTCATATATTTTTACTAAAAAAGGGTGTATGACTAAAGCTGACAAATTTTAGTTTATTTTGTTAAATACTTAATTTGAAACTATGTGCTACGAAATAGATATACTGTGTTTAAAATTCTCACTTTTGTGGTAAAAAGCACAAATTCAGTCTAAATGTATTCAAGTTTCAGTAAACCAGAGCTAAAGAGATACACTGTTGAAAGACAGCTACTGAAAATTCATCTTTTAATTAGTATCAGTTTTCAATACTATGTTTCAATATTCACTTTGTCTTAACTTCTAATTTCTAGTTCTGAAAACAATTCCATCGAAAATTTCAACTTATTGAAGTTTAAGTGTATATTCACGCTGTGACAATTTGGTAATCAGAATGTATTTAGAGAAATAGAAATGTTTTAGAGCATACACTAGGACAACATTCAATCTTAATGGAAATCTGGCAGGTATTTAAAGAGAAAGCTTGTAGAGATCTACTTTTGGCACTCTAAGAATAGATGCATTTCTTTTATCTCTTCCATATCACAAAAAAACTTTCTTTTGAAATGCAACTTTAGTTTTGGGGAAAAGAAAATAATAGCAAGAAGACAAATCTGGAGAACATGCAGGCAATAATATACTATATAAACTTTTTTTAGGGGGGGGCTAGAAATAATTTTTTGCTAGTGGGAAGATACATTATCATGCAATGCAGCACATTTGAATTAACTGTTTCAGATTGAATAATAGATAACATTAAATTGATTGAATAACATTGACTAAGATTAAAAATTGTCTGCTTAATTCTGAACTATTAAAGTCAAATGTTAAATATTGCAGAATTGTTTTGATATCTCACCGTGTAAAATAAACCTAATATCACCAATCTAAAAATTTAATTCTGGTTTAATCTCCCCAAATTGCAGAGTAATCATTATCTTGTCTTTAGCTTAGATTCCAAGAATTATAAAGGGCTGCAATAATAGAAAATGCAACTTAACATTCATTTGGCTTGGTAGTTTACAAATTAATGCTTTAACAAAATTAAAATTCTTATTTTTTGTGCCTGAGAATACAATATTTTAAATATTTACAAATCAAAAATGAATTAGAGACTAATTAGCTGCCTAATGAACTAATAGGCTGTTATAATTTAAGCAGGCCCCCCATCAGTGGTTGATCTGCTAGAGGACACTGAATACTGATAATTTCTTCCAGGTTCAAACCCAGGTGAATGGACTGGCTGCATTTTTGTAATTTGCTATGTGTAATGTGTGAACTAGTTTTCCTTTGAAAGTTTTCCTAGGAATGCAATCCTCTTTTAATCAGACAGCTCTTGTGTGCTTTGCCATATTCAAATAACCTAACCTATACTAAGATAATGCAACAAAATTTTGAAAAAGAATAGAGAATCATAAAGTTTGAAAATTTAATTTAAAATCAAAACAATGCCATTTTTTAAAATAAAGATGAAATCTTGGATATCGTATTGAAGACTTGAATATTATTAATTTGCATATTTATTAAGTATCTGTACAAATGTAACGAATCATACTTCTCTGTATATTTCCCCTGCTGTATTTGTTTGGATCTAACCATAAAAAGATATTCGGGTTTTTGATTTTTACTTGCACGTGGATGTAGTGCTTTAATCTATATTCATATTTTGATATTCATTCTTGAGTAGAGGTTCTTAAACAGGGGAGAATTCCACCCTAAGGGGAGATATTATATATTATTTATTTTCAGGGGAAAATGCAGTCAGCCTTTTATTTACATGTTAAGTATTTAGTTTATGAATATAAAAAACTACTTTTATTTGAATTTTGGTATTTATTAATATTTTCTATGCGCTTTCGTGTTTAATTTATGAGACACATTAAAAAATAATCTAAATTTTAAAAAAATGTGTATGTATTTTTGAGTTTTGGAAAAGAGGGGATTTAATTGCCTAGCAATGGTAAAAGAGTGCATGGAGCAAAAAAGGTTCAGAACCATTGTTCTAGAGTATTAACTCAGGAACCAAAACCAATATTAAAAAATTACATTATTCAGAATATGTACTGTTACTGTTTCACCTGTGGCCAAGCAGTAAAGTCGCTGAATGCTGGTTATTCGGTCCAGGGTTCAAATCCCGCTGAACGGGTGGGTTGCATGGGTGTTTTCACCGTGTGTAATGTATATGTGACCCAGTTTCACCAAGAAAGTCGTCCACAACAGTATCCCTCTCCTTAGGCAGATAGCTCTTAAGTACTTTGCTGTAATTAAGTGAACCAAACTGTCTACTGTTATGAGTTATTCTATATGCAATATTTTGAGATAACAGTAGTAATTTGCAGTTTATTTTAATCTTACACTAAAGTACTTAAATTAATTACATAATAAAACAAGTTTGATTCACTTATAAATATAATTTCTGTTTATAAAGTACCAAAATTTTAGTTAGTATACTTTTGTACAGCAAGTTTTGTATTTTTAAAAGAAGTTGTCATTTTAATTAGTCAGTTTTTAAAATTTTGAATTTTGCTATAAACTTTTTCATTTTTAGGAAATTTCATTAAAATAAAGTTATTGTTAAGTTAAAATAAAGTTACATGATAGTAACATGACAAATATAAAAATGCACTTTTACAGACATATAAAAAAAGAAAAATATATATTAAAAATTTGATTAATAATCCTTCTTATTTAAAAATTCTTTCTTTATTATTATTTTTATGCTTTTGATATATTGTTAATAAATATTTATTATGTATCATTAGTAAAAACAAGAATAAATTTCATTTGAGTAATTCTCAGTAAAACATAAAATTATGCAAAGCAACATTTTGTGTTTGGTGTATATTTAAGACTCTTTTGATTTCAAGGGCAAGCTGGTGTGAGTCCCATTTTATTAGAAGCAAAGAAATCTATAATGAAGTATAAAACACAGCTGTAGTTGCATGAAAAAGGAGTAAACTGAAAAAGAAGGTAGCACCATCTGTCTGAAACAAAAATTGAAAAATTAACCTAATAGACTTTTAAAAGTGTTGGGGGGCTACATGGACTTTAAATAGACTTTTAAAAGATTATTTCCCCTGCCCTAATAGACTTTTAAAAGTATTTAAAAGTGTTGGGGGGCTACATGGGAAGAACCAGATTGGAACTAAAGTCATTACCTAAACAAGATAAATCTTTGCAAATGTAAAAAGCTTCAAGGAAATCCAATTAGCTATCAAAAACTTGTTAATTTCACTTTTTCAAATATAAATTCTTGTTCCTTGATGTAAAACTTTAACATTCTTTTAGATTGTCTGATATATCTAAAGTTATACTGACTAGATATGATATAAATTTCAAAAGCATTAAAGTTAGAAATGGAATCTTTAAGAATCGAATCATAGATTTTACTGATAGGTGAGAAAATGACTTGAAAACTGAACTTCTGAAGACTTATGCAGTTTTGTAAAACCTCAATCACATTATATTTCGGCTACACAAGACTTGATTTCGAAAGGGACAATTCTCAGAACCTGCACAATTCCAGGAAACCCACATAGCTAGGTTACCATTTTCACTTACTACAAAGACTTGAATGCCAAACACTAATCAGTTATTGCTCAGATTGGGATCACATGACGCTTCAGAAGCAGAACTTTTGCCTGATTGGTTGTCTCTACTCAGGACAGAGGTCCAGCCGAGACATTTTCGGTGAGGTTTGAAAAAATCCCGGTTGTCTCTACTCAGGACAGAGGTTCAGCCGAGACATTTTCGGTGAGGTTTGAAAAAATCCCATGTAGCCACAACATCGTTTCCGTAGCTAGACAGGACTTCGCTTCAGACGGGGCTCTTTTGTCTAGGAATCCTCCCGTTTAAACCAGTGCTGGAGTTGAAACAGAATGACAAGTTTGTTAATGCTATTTCGAACAGTGGAATGTCTTCTTTGATTTCAATATGAAATATTTTTATCAATGACCATAGGAGAAAATCCTCTGTCAATGGCAACTGACCTCAAGTAACTGAGTTCAATAGCAAGCAAAGATTCTGATGAACAAACTTTGAGACTACAAAATGTATACATAATATTAAAAAGAAGCCCCCTTTTTTTGGGGGGGGGTCTGGCATATTTGGCAATAAAATGGTTATATTAATAAAGTGTCTAATACCTGATGGACAGTAATTGCCTTGTTTGACACATTGTCATGTTGCTGGATTCAGTAACCAGATTTTAAGTGGAGCTCCATAGCAGTCATCTTCAATAACTCTACACTTCCTTCAGTTTTTTTTCAAATCATTTTGACATTAGCTAGTTGAGAAACAACCTTCCATGGCATCATATGCCCCACTTTCCTGATTAGCATGGAACTTACAATAGCAAATGAAAGCTTTCTGCTGCAAAAGGCTTTATTGCAATCAATAATTTTCTGCATTCCAATGGTTTCTGCAAAGGTCTTGCACAAAAAGTTTAATTGCTACTTTTGGTTCTGTTTTCGGATATATGAGTAAGGTACAAAATAGTTTTTAGTTTATAGCTGTAATTCACTCAATATACCATCGAAACCTACATTGATTTCACTTATCCACTGACCATGTGTGGTAATTTGTATACCAAATGTTAGATGGCAGAGCATATTGCTAATCTAATAACTTTTAGATACATTGTGTATTATTGCAGTTTAGTGATGGATGTTCTGCAAAAGAATTCAAAGGCATTTTAAAAATAGAAAAAAACAACTAATACTGTTTTGCTTAGCAAAGGCATTGTGCAGGCTTTGACTAAATTTTTGTAAATAATTGCATTTTAATGTTTTACATTAATATATATAGTATTTATTTTTAAATTGTATGTAATATTTTTGATTGGGTGCTTCTGTTTGATTATTGAGTTTCTTCAAACTATGTAAATGTATGTGCCAATGAAGTAAGAGTATAAATATAAAACTGTATGCGATATGAGAAAATTTAAAAATTGTAACATTCAGCACCAAAAGCAATATAAACTGAGCACAAATTTAAAAAAAAATGTGTGTTTCCCCCCATTTCTGTATGTTTGAAATCTTTTGTTTTATACTGTTGTATTATATTCTTATAATTATGATATTTGCAGGAATTCTGCTGAACTTATTCTCTGCTACATTCAATGACTGTATGAATGACATTTCAGTTAAAGTATTGGAGGTTGTTGCTTCCACTTTAGATGAACGAGTAAAGCTTTTGTTGGACTTGTTAGCTGAACAGATATCTAGTCATAAAGTACAGTATATGATGTATACATGTTCTAACGCCATATAACATAAAGTCTTTATCAATAAAGAACTAATTGATTAGCTGTCTGATTCTAATTTTAACTTTATGTTATACATCTATTAGTGTGTTATTAACTCTTTGTATATATTTGCTTTTTAGCTTGTAAAGTTAGATAAATATCACGATGAAAAGGATTTAGAAGAAAAAGTGAGTAACTGTTTCTTTGTTACTAACACTTTGCTAAATAAATAACTTTTTATTTCCCACTTTAATGTACATCAGTATAAAATTTTGAGGAAATAAACACAGTGAAATTTAATTAATTAAAAGCATAAACTAAACATTGGGAACAATGAATAAAATTTTTATTAAGTTGATATATTTTGTCTCACAAATAATGCTATAATTGAATTTTTAATCCTAATGATGTGTTATGAAGGAACTCAAAATTGTCAATATGCCATTTTCTTCACATTGCATCATTTTGTGCAAAAACATCATGGTTTTTCATGTTTCATAATTGGCAGCTATGCTTTTCATTTTGGTGAATTTTAATAGCTTGATTCTAAAACTCAAACAAATAATAATTATGATGTAAAGTACATTTTATAAACTTCTATTTAGGAAATTAAAAAGTTACTGTGTATACATTAAAATTAATTTCATTTGTGTAATTTTTTAATTTTTTAACAAATGTTTTTTTCAGTGTTTATTGTAATTGTTTCAAAATAATTAAACCTATGTCAGTATATTCCGTATAAAATTTACTTGTACTTTTTCTGTCATGAAGTTGGCAGATATGTCATAGGTCACCATTTTTTTATCATCCGCTATAAATTATGTACACAAATTATTTAGCATTTTCTAATTCAACATTTTGAAATGGTGTAAACAGAGTTCTAAAAAAAGTGCTAATATTTCAGTGTAACTTTTTTCTTTTTGCAACTAAGGGAGATTTGAAAAAGACAGGTTTGGTTAGGTTATTCAAATATGGCAAAGCACATGAGGGCAATCTACTGAAGGAAGGATGCTTTTGTGAAAGACTTTCTAAGAGAAACTGGCTCAAATTCATACTACATGAGAACAAAAACCAACAATGCAGCCAGCTCATTTATCTGGGTGTGGGTTCATTTGTCTGGTCAAATTACTAGTATTAATGGTCTTAACAACTCTGCCAGAAAGAGAGACTTAAAACAAGGCAGAGAATAAGCATTGTTACCAGAAATACTTTTGTATTAAATAAGATATTTATATAATTATAGACTGTTATTCCCTTTTTTTTTATCTTTATATACATATTTCATAGCTAGTAACCCTGCTAGTTTTTTGACTTGCTTTCTAGTAAATTACTGAATCTTCCAGTTTATAATTTTTAGCCTTTGCTAATTTTTATCTTTACTTTAATTTTTAAGAGTTTTTCAGCAATAAAATTAAATTAAAATTTGTACAGTTTCGGTATTGCATTACATAAGTTTCATTATCAAATTCAAATTTTGCAAATTTCATTCCTTCATCCCTTGGGGGTAATGATCTGGGTATAGTTTTTCATATTAAATTTTATTTGATCTGAATTTTTGTAATCTACGGTGAACATTTATACATAGTTTTTTTTTTTTTTTCCAACCTCTGATGGGCTATAAAGGAAAGACAGATGAATATACAAAAAAGATTTTATTACCAAAAGTAATGTACAATACAGGTTATTTCTCTACTCAATCACCTTGACAATTGAGGCCTTTGTCATATCTGTGATCAAGCTTTGCAGTACTCTCTTCATAAAATGATCCCACCAATGAGTGGAAGTGTGTTTTGACGGTTTCTTTAAGCTCCGCGTCATTTTGGAAACACTGATCCCCAAGCTACTGCTTCAGTTCAGGGAAAAGATAAAAGTCACTTGGCGCTTCACAGACTTGCATCCTTGACCCCCCTCATCGTGCACATTAGTTCGGCCATCTTTAAACTTTTGACACCATTCACGAACAACACCATCACACATAAAACTGTCTCCATACACCCAACACATTTTCCGATGAATTTCCGCTGCACTGTTCCCGTCTGCCTGGAAGAAATGAATAACAGCTCACAATCCACACTTGGCGGGAGAATCAATAGCAGCAGCCATGTTTACATGACTGCAACTCAACAGAAAATGGTGTTTTGAAGTCGGCAGTGACAGAGCGTGTGGAGGATGAGATGCGCAGTCGCCTACTACGCACACCAACCACCTGCCGCATGCCTGGCCATCATACTGTGGGATCAGAGGTTGAAAAAAAAAAAAAAAAAAACTGATGCTAAAGCAAAGTTTAAAGTTTAAAGAAATTAAACATTTAGCAGTAGTAGCAATAAAAGCTCCCTGAGATATCATGTTGTGCAGACATTGAAGACAATAAAAGGTTTTGAACTTAACCAATTTATTAACAATGTAATAAAGAATAAAAACACAGAAAATAAATTTCAACAATATCAGAGTCTTAGGAAAAAATATAATATAACCATCATTCCATCAAATATATTTTTACCTGGTCTCCAAAACACTGGCATCAATACAAACAAAAAAATCCTAAACATTAATTATGCGGCCTAAAAATGAAGCTGGCTGCACAGTCAATAACGTCCCATGATCAATGGTTGAGAAAACACCTGAAATTTGTAAATGAAGTTCTTGAAAGCACTTCAAAATCAGGCCTAACTCCGTTTGCACAAGGAATCGCCGCTCACGTATTTTAAATGCCATCTTTCATTGAAGAACATGGATGCCTGCCCACGGCAGTCACTCACATGGTAGAAATCTCTGGAACCAAGGAACTTTATTCTGGAACAACCATCTTATGGATATCAACCAAGGAACTCATTCCGAAACAATCATCCCGCGGACAGGCACCAAGGAACTTTATTCAGGAACAGCCATCCCGCAAACCGGAACCAAGGCACTTTATTCACCGGACTGCATGCATCCTTCTGAAGGGGCTGGAAACCGCTTACTCAAGTGCCAGGAAAGCAGGAACTAGAAGGGGACTAGCAGGGTTGAGCCAGAGCGACGCGAGATACTTATAGCAGAAGTAGGAATGACGTAATCTCACGGCAACCAATCAGCTATCGGCACGAATTGGCTTTTCAGATGACATAACATCACGTTTCATTTTTACATCTCAATTAGGTTGAAACAGTCCGTTCTCAATGCAAACAGTGGCAGCAAGAAAAAGAAGTAGAAGTAACTACTATATTACTTTAAAATAACTAAACTAAATAAACATTTCAAGGAGGAGAGATGATGCAGTAAAACGTTTACAATAAGTTATATTTTCCTACAAAAACCCTCATATATCTTTATATAAAGGTTCAACCAAATGTTTAACCTGTAAATATTTGTATTTAATTTCATTTTAATCAACATATAGATTCAATAGGTGCATTTCAGAACAGAAAACATGAAAAAATATACAATGCCTTCAATAGGGTTTGAACTCCAGATGTTCTGATTGCTAGCTATACATAAATTAATTAATTACATAAAGAAGGCACTTTTGAGCTAGTCACCAAACCCCAGTGATGTGTGGTGCTGCAGAATGATTTTTTGATTTTCAGAGGCAAAATACATAATGAATGTGTAATGCCCTCATGGGAATTTGAACCCCAGACCTCCTGATTGTTAGCTGAACATGCTTTCAAATTATACGACAAATACATGTGGTAAAGAAAGTATCTTACAAGTATATAGTATATTACTATGTTTATCCACTCAATAGTATATACACTAATGTTAATTTTAATTTTATCGTGTTTAAAAGCACTGAAGTTTACCTTCCCTACTCAATTTTCTTAATATAAAAGTGTAAAAAAAATTAACAAAATTAGCCAAATAACTTAAAATTTAGAATATGTAATTAGTATATTTTACATCTTAATCATAACATAAATAGTTGAATAAACTGAATCATGCATTATGAAATGAATTTTAATCAGTTTTTAGTTCTTTTAAAATGGTGCTGCCATGCAACACGGAAATCTAACGCAAATTCCAAATTTTTCATATTTCAAGGTTGGCAGCTATTATATATATATACGAACGGCATATCTTTTCATGCTAAATGATGAATACTGTGCATCTACCTGTTTTGCTTGTAACATCATTTATTTCACTGCTAAAAGCATTGCATTGTGTTAGCTATTAGGTTCTTTAGTTTACCATTAGGATCATTGCAAATAATTTGAAACAATAAGGCATCACTTTCATATTGACCATGATTCAGCAGTTCTAAAAAACAACAATTGGTCAAAAGTTAAAGGGATGTGTAGAATCTGTTCTGTATATGTGCATAAATATTAATAAGAAATTAAGAGAAAAAATAACTTTTTTTTATCTTTATAATAAATATTCAACTTGGAATATTTTAAGTATTACATGCTTGATTTAAAAATTATAATTTTTGTATAAAATATATGTAGGACAATATATATTAAACTGTTTTGAGTTACCAGCTGAGCTAGAACGCATACACACGTTTTGTATACCTACATCCTTGGAGAGCTAGGAATCAGGAGTCACAAGCAATAAGTATGCCATAGACAAGCGGTCATCAATCCTTAGAACTTCATTGACCACTACATATATAATTTTATATTTGGTGGACCACTAATATAAATTAAAAAACTTAAATCAGACCTTAAAAACAACCATATTAATACATTAAAAGCAATATTCAACTTTCCAATACATGTAATTCTAATTTTCATTTGTTAATATAATTTTCAAAATATTTGGTCTTTAGCAGCATGCCTTTATGGAAATTCAGGCTATGCCTCCAATTATGAGTAACAATTAAAACACTATTAACATCTCGCTGATACACGTATTTCGTTCACATTGAAAAATTATATAAAAAATACAGAATTTTACCTTCTTGTGCATAAAGCTTCACATTTCCATATCACTGAAAAGGAACTTCATGAAAAGCAAGAACAAACTGGCAAGCACAAAGCAATATCAATAAACGGAAAGTGTTATGCTGTCAATTTTTAATTATTGTAAACATAATAACCATCGCTTACTCAGCAATGGCGCCATCAATCAACAGTTTGACAAAACAAAAATGGAAACTTCCAGTGATGCAGTTATAAACAAGAATGCAGGTGGTTCTCATAAAAATCCATTAAGTTGCCTATTGACACGGAGAAAACTGTGTTATTAACGACTACCATAGCATATGTTTGTAATTCAAAAGGAAAGAGCATTACACTTCACGCTGTTATTGATAACAGCGGCATATCCATGGATGCCAACTCTCACTTTCAAATGTCACTTGATACACCTGCAAAAGTAACTAAAAAATTGCTAAATTCAGAAGGAATTTCACTAAAAGTGGTAGCTAAAATTAAAAAAGTATAATACATATTTTATAATACGTTTTGTTACTCATAATTTTTAAACTGAATCTTCATAAAAATATAAATTATGTCCCAATTTTTTTCTGTGGACCATCAAAAAGTTTTCACGGAACACCGGTTAATGACCGCTGCCATAGACCATTGGCTAGTGAAGTTGCAGATTGCTGTGGTGCATTAGAACAGTCTACCAGGGATATTCAGTGGGTATTGTGGCAGAATAGTGGCATTATACCCCGACATTTTTCCACAGTTCTTGTTGAGAGTTGTCATGAAAGCTTTCCCACATTGTTCTGAACACTGCATCCAGATAGGACAAGATTTAGAGGACATTATTTTCAAGATTCACTGATGTCTACATTATACACTGTAGTAAATGTCTAAAGTTACCACAATCATCTTTATGTTATACATGTAAAGTTAGTGGCTACAATATGCACCATTCTGTATCTCTAAGTATAGTTTTGTAATTGCAATTTTTTTTATTAATTTTTTTTTTCAAGAAAAACTTTACTACTACTTGTTAAATGTTTTTTTTTTTTTTTTTTCCAGTAGTAAACATTTGCTGAATAAACATTCCTCTGCTTCATAGTGTATTTGATTATTAAATTTATTCATTCATTAGGAGGCTGCTGTAAATAAGACTGTAAAGCATTTGGATCATGTTCTTCCCGCGAAACAGATAGCTCTAGAAATATTGACTAATGTTTGTTTCGGCAATGGTAAGTTAAATGTATGTTGAAAAATATTGCTGGTCTGAAAATTAAGAAATGTTTTTCCATTTTAAAATATATTTTTTCCTTCCAGATTCTAGTGATGATTGGGAAGATTTATCAAGCAGTGATGCTAGTGATGAAGCAGAAATGGATGTTGATGAAACTGAAGCTTCTCTCATGAAAGTTAGTAGCATATTTGTTTATGAAACGAAGCATTTATGATCTTAAGAAAATCAAATTTAAAAAAAACTGAAAGGTTTCACATTTTAAATTACATTCAAAGAGACATTTTTTTAAAATTTTTTTTGTTACCTTTATTTATTAAATATCACGTTCTTTGCACTTAAATCATAAAATTCAGTTCAAGAGCAATATAATATAGTAAAATAATTTTAAATTGAGCATATCCTCAGAATTTACGATATAGAGTCTCGCCCGCTGGAGATAAAAATATTTTTTCTGTACAACGTTGCCATTGCTTGGCTTTGAAATCTTTGAGTTTGTTAATCAAAAATTCATTAACGTTTTACAAAATATGAAATTGATAATAAACCAAATTTCAAATTCAAATTAGGGCTTCCACATGCCCATATTCCTATATTCTGTGGAAGATTACGTTATTCAAGTTTTGATGGCTCTAGTCACCGTTGTTTTACCACAGTGCGAAAAAGTACATACATTCATGCAGATTCTTCATTATTTAATTTCTTTAAATATAATACAGGGCTCTAATATTTCGTGACAACAATTTGATTCACTGTTTATAGTTTTCAACGCAAAATGCCAAAACGAAATTAATAGTCCTACTGATCAAATTGCCCCTTTGGACTAATAAACAAGTTAATGGGCTCAAACACAATGCCGTAACTAAGATACATGTTTCTTATGAGATCAATCAATAATAAAACAAATTTAAAATTGGGCATGCCCATATTCGCAGTAGAATTACATCATTCAAAATTGGGTGGGTCTAGGTACCATTGTTTTATCACAATGCAAGAAATATACATATATTTATGCAGATTTTTCATTATTTAATTTCTTCAAATATAATGCAAGACTCTAACATTTGGTGGCAACAGTTTGAAAAGTGAAACAGACATTTATAGTGCACCAACACAAAACGAAAACAAAAGTCCTTCTGGGACAGAGCCCTGTTGTACTAAAAATCAATATTTACTTGTTTAAGTTATTAAACATTTCTTTCAATGTGAACGTTACTTCACATAATTTCTTGTTCAGTTACAATGTTCTTCATGTTCCATAACTGCCAGTCGAGAATTCCCACTGAATTGTCAATCGAAATTTTTTTCAGTATTAGCAACTTTTGTCAGTTTCTTCTCTGTTGGAGCAATAGTGCATTTTAGAGGCATACTACAGATTTTAAATAGTTTTTTTTTTTTTTTTAAAGCATAATCTAATATTTGTCTTTAGCATCTGCTGTATCGTGAAGAGGACATGGTGAATGGGCAGGTGAAGAGAACTATGACACTTAAAAAACAAGACTATGCTTTCCATCCAATGTATTCATCTGAAATTGGATGTTGTAAAGTTTTCATTGGAAATATAAATTTATTATTATTTAATTAAAAAAAGCTGACAGAAAAGTGACTATATAAATTATTTTCACTTTTTAGGCTTTCTAAAGAGTATTATAAACTCTTTGCATAAGTATAATTGAAAGAATGAATAGGTGCCAAATGAACATTTTATAATGACTTAAACACTGATTAAAAATTGTTCCTGCCATGCAAAATTGGGAAGCAGTTCTAAAGATAACAATTAATTAGATTATTATCAATATTTTACCTAAGCTCAAGTATTTAAGTTATTCGTGTTTCATAGCAAAAAATATTATAGCCATGAACTTTTATTACATATGCAAATGAAAGACTATAAATTAATTAATAAATGCACTTCAAAATATACCTAAATCTAATTAAAATATTTCATATAAGAAGTATACCTAAATCTAATTAAAAAAAACCTAAATTCAAATGTTCATATTTATATTTATAATGAGATAATAACCTAATAGACAAATGACTGCGATATTTAAAAAACATTAATTATGCTGTGTTAGGAAAATGGAACTGCAATTTGCAGTTAATTAAAAACATTTATTAAAAATATTATACAATTAGAAATGCAATAATTATAGATTACAGTATTTAGTGATAATGCTGGTGTTTCTTAACACCACTTCTTTCAATCATGTGTAAATGTATATACTTACTTTTAGTTTCTGCAATTTGGGAGAAGAGTAAATTACCATGATCATGTCTACACTTTTTAAAATCAATAACCTTTCTTTAGCTGAACATTGAATGATATATGGAATAGCTTGATATATGCATTAAAACTGATCTTCATTAAACATCATATCTTAAAAGTATTTTTTTTATTGTTTCTTTGTTACCACAAACATATCAAATTAAGCAATGAAAATTAAACTATACTTGAGAATAAAAATGACAAATTCACATAAATGTTTGTTTCTTAAAATCTGTTTCTATCATCTCTTAACATACGTATATATTTCTACTCTCTGGAACAACTGAAAATTAACAAGATCAAGTTCATTCAAACAATACATTTTCTAAAATCAATAATATTTTATTGCATATTGCACAGAAAATCTATAACTAATATGCACAGTTGCATGCTACATACATTAAAAACCTGCTATTTGTGAAATAGCATGCAATGAAATCTTTTCCCCCTTAATTTATCATGAATTTTTTTGCTATTACAAATATATTAAAAAAATAAGCCGCAAAAGCAGAATATACTTTTAATAATAAAAAACATAAATTGTAACATTCATGTTTATAATGTGATCTTAAGTTAACAAACAAACACTTAGAGCAGTGATTTTTTAATGGTACAAACTATGCATTGTTTGGAGCTATAAACACTACAGGAAAAAATAAAACTGCAGTTTACAGTTAATATGATAAAATTACTTAAGGCTTTTTTAATTTAGTTCTGATTCATTTGAAACAAGAAACTTACTATCTGCCAAAACTTTTGTATCATTATTTGTAAGTATATTCAGTACATTTGTGACGGTGTTAAAAAAATCACAATTGCAAGATAGGTAGATTTCATTGCCATTTAGTTCATATTAATTGCCTACATTTTAAAAAGTGTAATAAGAATTAAATGCTGATTTCGGCATTTTTAAAAATGTTTTGTATATTCATTTTTACACAAGTGCTCTAAAAGTGCAATTATTATGTATTTCTAATATTAAACACTAATGTGGGTGATTTCTAAGACTACTTTTCTCTAAATATTTGTACTTTAGTTTCTGCTCTTTGGGATAATTGAAAGTTATCAAAATTTAATAATTTTTCTCATCAACACACTGAAATCTAAATCACTTTGAATATTATCGAATACTGAGAGATCATGTCATTAAATTTGTTACACAAGATGTTTCGTCAAAACGACATTTAATTGTGGTATTTGACATTGTATCTCAATGTAATGTCAATGCACTTTTCACTTAAAGCTTTCATTGATTGTTTAAAATGTCCTTTGCAGTCACATGGAATGCACTGCCTGACATCTGATGATACAAATAAAGTCAAGATTCTAAACAATTAGTTTGAAATTTACTTGTCAGTACATATTGTGTTCCATTTGACAGAAGATGCTTACTTACAGAAATCATGCATTTTATAGTGTATCAAAGCAAAAAATGTCTTTTTACTTAAACATCTACAACATGGTTTTAATTTCATATTCTGCCATGCTTCCAGCCACAGTTTAAAGTTCTCCAAAAAATTAAAACATTCACCTGGCACTTATTTAACACAGGAATTTAGGTTAGCTGTAAATATTAATTTTTAACTCCAAATAAGAAATTGTATTGTCAAAGTTAGCACTAAACAGCATCTGCACACTTTATGGTAGTTACAAGACTAATGGTAAAACAGAAATGGATATTAATTTAGATGTCAAACAACAAAAATCGGCATTTAGTCTTGTTGGTTTTACCAAACCATCAGCCTCAGCTGCAAAAGCGCGAATGAACGAGATAAAGTATAGTGGTTAGATAAGAAAAGAAAGACTGCACAAGAGTTAAGCTACTGGCACCATCTATTGATGAAATGAGAACTAAAACATAATTTCCTTAAAGGCTGAGGAAATTATGTTTTAGTTCTCGTTTCATCAACAGATGGTGGAAGTAGCTTAGCTCCTGTCCAGTCTTTTTTATCTTATCTTATCTAATCATGATATCTTATCTCGTTCATTTGCGCTTTTGCAGCTGAGGATGATGGTTTGGTAAAACCATCAAAACTAGTCTTGTGAAAATTTGAAAACATAATGCTGATTTTTGTTGTTTGGCTTCTAAATTAATACTTGTTCGGCATGTTATTGTATCTTAATAATGAATAGAAAAGATGATTCATTCCTGAGCTGCCTGACCACACAAAGGCCATGGCTTTATACTACTGATGTATTATGAGTTTGGTGATTAAAGACATGTTGTTCCACTAAATTGTTTTTTTGCTTGTATCACACACTGTAGAAGTTAAGTTTTAATTGTAGTATTAGTTTAGTTAGTTATTGTAATTATGTCTATTTCGTGCATATTTGAGGTCTGAATAAATAAATTCCCACATATGTTTAAGGCTTATCCAACTCTACGAGTAAATCATCAAATCTCTCGGTTATTTATTTTTATCCTTTACCAAGGACAATTTTTTGCAGTAGTAAATAGACTATATTGAATTAGTGAAACCTCAAGGTAGGCAAATTGCATTCTTCCATCTTTAGTGATTTTTCTGAATTTTTTTTTCATCTGAATTGTACTTTTTATTACATTTTATTGATGTTATTGAATTTCATTTGATCTGAGTTCTGCTTAATCTGCTTTAGACATCTGTAGATTTTTATATGAAGAGCAATGTTTAATCAATTAATATTTGTATTTAATTTTATTTTACTTCAGCAGATGGTACATTACTAAATTTATCCAAACAAATGTTATATACATTATTATTAATTTTATTTTCATGTTTAAAAGTACTTTGGTAAATAAAGTACTATTTGCGATTTTCTCAGTATGTGTAAGAAAATTAAAAACTGATATGTTTTATATGAAAAGAAATTTCTCCTCTTCAGCTCACTCAGTGCTTTGTAATACATTTGGCTGAAGTCTGTAATTGTCGCCAAGTATAATGTCAATATAAAAAATTACCATGCTGTTTGATATTCAGTTACTGATGTGAAAAAATGGCCTTTAGATATCACTATATGAATCATTTCTCAAACTGCGAGAAGTTGATAGTTACATGGCGATGAAAGCAAAAAAATACTAATAATCATAATAATAATAATAATCAATGATTGCCAGGGGCATTAGGATATAAGTTTTCTAGTGTAAATGGGGGGAACTTTGGGAATGTTTCGTTTGAATGCCAGACGCAGAAAGGCAGACAGACCGAATTATTGATAATATGATTTAAGCTATAAAGGATTGTGTTACTTCAACATGGAGGTCAAGATTTTCTTATTTTAATACAAAAAATGTAAAGTATGATAAAGTGAGATACTACTTTTGAATCTAATTTTCTCCCTTTTTGCAAAAGTTTTTTTTATTTTTTTTGTTTTTTTATTTTAAACTGGCGTTAGAGTCTACATATTAAATCATATTATATATTGGATATCCATATATCGTACTTTGTATTATATTTTAAATTTTGATACAAAAAATTCTCATGTCACCATGATTCATAATTTTAAATCTTTAATCTCATTTAATTTAGCAAATTTTTATTTCAGCTTGGCCTTAGAATTCCTTCTGAAATTCATGGAATCATTGTTAATGGAAAGTTTTTGGAGAAGGTTATCGATCAGATTATTACACCCTCTGATGAAGTTTATGATGTTAAAAGGAAGTTCATTAGCCAGTGAATGTCTGAAAAGGTACAGTGATTAATTACTTTTTGGGGGTTTCTTTGCTTATCCCCACCCATTCCAAAAAAAAAAAAAAAAAAAAAAAAAAAAAAAAAAAAAAGCATGTAATTTCACATGTACAATATTAATACATTAAGATGTTTCGCATTATGATTTAAATATCACAAATGGTGTATGTAGAACTGTGTTGCCAGATCACAGCATGCCTCACCTTAAAGATAAAGCTTATGGTTACAGAATTCAGAATTTTTGGACTTTCTGCATTTATGTCAAGAAAAAACATACCTGAAAGTAAATTTGTCATTCAGAGCAAAATACATAATTTTATTTTTGTTCAGGACTATGTATTTTGTAAGCAGCCTCATTAGATTATGCTTCTTCTAATGGAGGAACTTAAAAAAAATTGCCTTTTACGTTTTCATTTTGTTGCATAAAAAAGTAAGCTTAAAAATGTGTTGCTGTCATAACAGTGCATTTTCTTCAAGAGCTAGTTAAAAAATAAAAATTTTGAATTTGTATTTGAAGTGCATTATAAATTTGGAAGGTAATTAATTTTTATAAAGTTAGATTTGGCTGTAGTTAAAATTTAAGTCTTTGGAGACAGCTAATGTTTTCTCATTTCTATATGGGATGCTAGTGTGCATCAGCCCGTAAGAAAGAATTTACACTTCTGAGCCTCTGAGCTCTAGTGTGAATGACCTTTATGTCACTTAAAACTAATCATTGTGATAGTAAAGATACGTAAACCATTGTGTGAATGCATCTTTAGGATAAAGTTTTTAATTAAGAATTAAAACTTTACTCATTACAATAATTATGAAAAATTGCTGCTTTAAAAAGAACATGATATTTGTTTCATTTACTTTTGTTCTATTGTCTCACTTAGGTTAAACACAGTTAAAAGTAGGGCCTTGTTATGTCTGAATAACTTAATCCATGGCTTAGAACTGGAAGATCTTGGGGGTCCAACCAAACTTTTTGAACTCTGGTACAGCATTGGTGAACTTTTATTTAAGAAAACAGGTTTGTTTTGAATATTATGTAGCCCAGATTTTTTTTCACTTAAATAAATTGAGAAAAACGAATTATCAAAAATTCCAGAATTATTGCCTAAATGCTCTTTTCTTGCAGGATGACTACTTATATTGTTATATGGTATATTGAATATTTTTTGGTGCTGAAAGTTAAATAATCTTCTTTAAGTATATTTTGAGTCATAAAATACTTTTGTTTTGTAAGTTTGCTTCCACATAAATATCATAAGCTTTCATTAGTAATTCTTTAAAATATATGCATGGGTTCAGTATTACTTACAAATTCTTATTCCTCTAACTGATATAACATGTCGTTTATATAAATCTGCAGTTATGTAAAAATGCAAATGTGGTATTAATATTCAGACGGTGCACATGCACAGAGAGAGGAGATACTAATTTGATTAAAATTTGGCCTCCATCTAATTCAAAATAGCCCTTTGTGGTACAGTATACAATTACTAGAAGTTCTGCAATTGTTCAGATACTTTCTAGAAGTCACATTCTTCTACTGTATTGAGCGTCATCTACTATGTATGGTGAATATCTTCTCTCATATCAAACACCCAAATTACAGCTGGGGAAGAAGAAGGAAATTTTGCAGGTCCATATCTGGTGAATAAAGTGATTATCACATTGATATGACCTGAAAATTGTCATATTTTGAATTGTGTTAGCAAAATGCAGTACCATAATTGAGCAACCAACTGGTTTCTTGCTACAGCTTATGTTATTTCTCCTGTATATTCTCTTTGATTCTTCAAAGTGTAGCATTAAAATCCTACATTAATTCTCTGACCCTGTGGAATGAAATCACTACATTTAATGTGTAAACAAGAGGGACATGCTTTTTAATCCAGTCCTCAGTTGCCTTGCTTTCCTTGATTTTTAAAAAACTTCTACTATAGAAGCTGTATGAGTTTCTATGCTACTAAAGAAATGCTACTATAGAAGCTGTACTGCTAGTTTTTCTGAATCATAACTATCTACCCAAGGATCATTTATTGTACTGACTGAGATATGTCTTGAGGTTCAGCATAATGAAGGATCTTTGGATATTAATATCTTTCTCTTTTTGCTTAGCAAGTTGCCAAATCTCACAAAGAGATTAAGCCATTGACTTATTTTTCTTTGTTGAATCTGCTAACTAACTAAAATACAGATTCTTTGGTTAAGGTTAGGTTATTTAATTATGGCAAAGACTCGAGGGCTATTTGCCTAAGGGGAGGGATGCCTTCATGAAGGACTTTCTAAGGGAAACTGGTTCATATACATGTTACACATGGAGAAAACCACGAAAACACCTGTGCAGCCAGCCCGTTCGCGGGATTCGAACCTCGGACTAAACTACCAGTGTTCAGCAACTTTACCGCTGGCCACTGGTGGGCCATTCTTTGGTTAAGATCTGATCCCATAGATGCATTCAGTTGCAAGAATGGGTATTTAATATTGTCAACAGTCGTCGTTAGTTATGATTTGTGGTGTGAAGGTAGATCATCCTAGGCCTTCTGGTGGAGATCATGGCAGACTTCAGCATGGTTCTTTTTCTGCTGCAGAGTTTTCAGCCAGTGTCTGGATTTGGCAATTGTGTGATGCATATTCAACCTTGATGTAAGGACTGCTTCTGTTATTCCATATAACTCACTTATAATATTGGCAGTTTCCATTTATGAGGATCAGACAATCTTGTTGCACAAAGCATTTTCTGTTGTGCTCAAAGACGTTTGTTTTGATATCTCATCCTGTAATAACATTCTGTTTCTTCTGAAGCATGAATGCAATTCAAAAATATGTTTATCAACTTATTGCCTCATGCCTTTGTGCTTTTTGAAACATTTTAAATGTCTGTAGTTGATTTTCCAAGTTTCCTGCAGAATTTGATACTTAAGTTTTGTTCTGATTTGAGATCCATATTTAAATTATAAATGAAGCAGAGATGAGAAGTGCTCAAAGTAAACCACACTGTTGAAGGAGATGCTGTTATACTTTTCGTTCAAGAAAGATACATTTTATCTTGTATTTGAATATGCAAAAATGACCATTAAATAAAATTATATATCGATGGAAGCATTTGAAGGTGTAACATGAAAATATGCAAGTGAAGGAAAAACATACATTTTGACAACAAGCTTCATTGAGTTTAGAATATTATTTAGACAGCGCAACAGTTTATTTACTGTTGGTAAGAGGATCTGACATTATTTGAGTTGGAGATGCAAGCTTTTATACAACTATTGCCTGAAACAGTTTTATGAGAAAAGTGTATTCTCTACATCTAATACAACAACCAAATAAAAGAAGTGGCTCTGGAAAAATTGTTGATGCAATGAAAAATCTTTTCATATGGGAAGAAACAAATGCAAACAGTATTCTTCCACAGTACTGATTATTTAATGAGCTATGCCAAGAAACTAGTGAATTATTTTCGTTTTTGTACAAAATAGGCAACCACACTGATGGAAAAAAATCATCAACCTTGTACAAGAGGAAATAATGAGGAAATAGTGCTTTTTAAATACTTGACATCCATCATTCGCAGAGCTTTCTGTATTTCAGGATCCCTGATGTCATCGAAGAAGTAGTGCAGGGACAAGATTTCCCTTGTTTCTGTTGGGTACTCCAAAAAGGCAAGACGAGATAGCCTTTCAGCATCCATAGCAAGCTCCTGCAGAGTTTCCATGGGCTTATATCAATGGTATTTAAATTGAAACCTGCTGTAGTCTTTTAAGCACCTTCAAAGTACAGCTCTAAAGGGTCATTCATCTGTGGTTTTATGTTTCGAGTAGCTCCACTATACCTGAAGGTCAGATTTTTCAACTCGCTGTACTATGGGAGAAGCTATGGGTCGGCTATGTCAGATATTTCCGTTAGCTCAGATAAACCCCAAGCCCTTAACACTCTGGACAGAGTTTCTAGCCTCTGGTTTTCGATAAGCGTCTGAAGGATATCCACTGCATATGCTCTCAGAGAAGTGGCAAGATGTCAAGCCTTAACTTAAGAATCCCAACCATATGCATCCACAACTATTGAAAATTGTGTCTTATATGCGTGTAAGGGATCTTCCCATCATATGTGGATAGCTTCAGAGAGGGATGAGAAAACACGGGTAAAAATTTTAAACTATCAGAATTGGTTCCTGCTGTCGCTATGCATTTCTTAAAGGTGTCAACTTCTTTGATGATAACAGTCTTCAATTTGTTGTTCCATTTGTTCTTGAATGGCAGAAACTCTTTCTCCAGCTCTATTTTCAACTGTGTAAATTCTATCTTCCATAGCTTCAAATTTGCCTTCTAATATAGCAGTAATTTCTCTCTTCATTTCTTTCCTCTTGACATGCTTCAATCCTTTCTTGAACTGATTTGACAGCCTCATCTGTCTTTTCCTGAACGCCTTCATCTCTTTAACGGATTCTTGTCCTGCTTTCACCACTTCTTAAAATGCAGCAAAGGCTGCCACCAGCTGTCTTAACTTCTCCTCCATTGCTTATAAAGTTTAATAAGGGCCCTCAAATTTACTTATGATAAGGTAGTCACAATGGAGTGAAAATTTGATATCTATATGAAAAGACTTGAGAAAAATCTTTCTCAAAAATACTTTTATTTAGATCAATGCAATCGCAAATTTTAATTGTTTAAAAGAAAATCTTTTGGTTAAGTGGTATTTGGTTTGTAACAAACTACAGAATTATAAAAAATGAAATTGGTAAGGCTGATAAATATGTTTCATTCTTTTAGAACTTAAATTTAAAATGCATGCTGCATATGTTGTAAGAAAAGCACACATTTTAAAATCTAGTTTTTTAAAAAAATTGGACTTCCAAAATTTTAATTCTGACTGTTATATTTTATTGCTCCTTAATCTGTTAGGTTATCAGTTATTTTATGTACTTGCTCCTTTTCAAAATTTTTATTGCCTACTATATGTTTTGAAGGAAATTTCCTTTTTATATATTTCTTTCTTGTATTAAACCTGCAAGGACTGGTAATATGTACTTACAAATCATTAATTCTAGAAAGCTTAGGTAATTTCTAGAATCATAAAATTCTAGAAATGCCATGTAAAGATTTTATAGAACATTCTAAGTATTTAACCTTTTTTTTTTTTTTTTTTTAAATTCTCCATTAAATAATTATATAAAAAGTCTTTTTTTATTTCATTTTTTTATGCAGTATATTAAATACACTTCCTTTGCAAATGTCAATAGATGATCAAACTATTTTTCGACCTTAAAACATTCAACTTCTTTTATTTTCATGGTTATGGAATTTATTAACTCAGTGGATAAACAGTAGTGAAGTTGCTGAGTACTGGTAATTCAGTTCAGGGTTCAAAACCCAGTGAACTGGCTGAACATTGCATGCATGGGCATTTTTGTGATTTTCCTCTCATGCAACATGGATATGAGCCAGTTTTCTTTTGAAAGTACTCCATGAGGGCATCTTTTCTCTTGAGTGCTTTGCCATAATTAAATAAACCAAACCAATCGTTAAATCAGTCATGAAATGAATCACCAGTTTCTTCAGTGTCACAGTTTTTCTTCCTGTGACTTTCATTTTTCAGTATTAAAATTAAAAAATCTCAATAAAAAAATACTTGCTTTTGAGTACTTTTTTAAATTCTTTTATATATATATATATTATATATATATATATATATATTTCATTGTAAAAATCATATTGTTTTTCATGTGAAACCTGCATATTTAATTTTCAGCCAAAGCTAGTTTTGTAATGCAGATTGTGACATAGAGGGATAACAAATTATTTTGTTTTAATTCTAAAGAGTATTCCCATTATGATGTAAATACTGAGACAGTTATCTGTTGTTTCATAATTATATAGATTTGGTTTTTCAAATATCCATACATTTGGACATTTTATTTGCAATAATCCAATATTGTTTCTTATCAATTAAGTAACTATTAAGTAAGTTTTTATCTATTAAGTAACAAAAAGTTGTATCTGTTAGGAACTGTGAAGGAAATTGAAAATGTTGCTTTATGTAACAAACAGAAATATTTTAGAAACATTATTTTTTATTTTGTTTTGTTACTGCTGCAAAGTGCAGAGTTAACAAGTGGATCTTAATTTATAAATTAAATTATTGGAATCTTATTTAAAAAATACAAATGTATTAAATTATATTCAGTTGGATCTTAAAAAGCTTTATCAAATGATTAACTAAGATTAATAAAAGTTACATCCACTTATTTGCTGTATTGGAAATGCATAACATTGTTATTCTAAAATTTCTTGCTGGTCAATTAATATTTCTGTTACATTTATAACTCAATATCACAGCCTTCTTGAAAAATTTGCAAAAAGAAAATAATTAAGATTTTTATTAAAAGTAGACAATGAAGTTAGTATATAAAAATTTAATGTGTTTTAATTTTAGTGTCTGTGATTTCTTTAAGTTTTTAAAATGAGTGCTAGAATGTGAGAGGAGTGGAGGATATAGTGAGGTACTCTAGGCATTTATCAAAATTAGTAAGTAAAGCTGTTAACAAGGTTTTTTAATTTCTAAGCAAAAAGAGGAATTTGGATTTGATCACCCCAAGATTGAAATTTAACCACTTGCGCTACTACTAAACTTCATGGTTGCAGTGCCGTGCACTACAATATAACAATAAAGGGTCTCATTTATGCCGCTCTGCGTCTGCGAGTGCAATCCAGAGCTGTAACTCGAGAATTAAACAATCTCGTTGTTAGGCGACGTGTGCACCACGTTATTTTAATTTTTGTGCGCGGTTTGAGACAAAAGCATCTCGGCGTGCGTGGCACATCTTTTTAGCGCAATTGGTTAATGTTACTTATTCAATATTCCACCAAAATGAGCTTCCTCATTATGGAAATCACTGTGTTCGATGTAACAATAACAACAAAAAAAAAACAAAAAAAAAAAAAAAAAAGAATTACGGCAAAGGAATGATTAACATACAGGCATGATTACAGCAAGTCATATTGGAAGTTTTTTGTGATTTTCATGGTATTATTCATTCATAACTTATTCCTTAAAGCAGAACAGTGAGTAAGAAGCAATGCCTGGATATCTTGCATCATATGCAGAGGTCCATTCATTTTAAATGAATTGAGATGCTACAAAATAGGCAGTAGTATTTTTCCATGCTAGTACACCTGTACATTGATCCCTTATGGTCAGAGAATGTCTGATCAGAAATGATATTAAAATGCTTCCTCATCCTACCTTTCAGGTAACTTAGCTGTACTAGCGAAACAAAATTTTGCAAAGGTGATAATCTGTATTAGCAAATGAAGTAAAAGCAGCATTAAAAGAGGTATTTCATGCAGTTGCAAAAGATTGCTTACACTAAGGCTTTCAGAAGTTATGCAGGCAGTGGCAAAATTATATCATTCAGCATTATTATTTTGAAAAGGATCTATGTCAACATTTTAAATTATTCACAATTCAAATTTTATGCAAAGTCGTAGCAATAGTTTTGAATGTAAGTCATATACTCTCTGTAACATAAAAAAATTATATACCAAAGAGTTATCTGAATGGGATTAAATTGCTTTATGATAGAATATACAGTAATAATTAACTTTCAGTGGCCAATGACTAGCTGGAGCTCCAGTATATTGCAATGGAGCATTTGATGGCATATAAAACAGAGGACATTCCAATGCTTCCATGCAAATGTGGTTACATTCACCCATAGGGACTGTATCAATGGGTTTGCAAACACTATGAGTAAATGTCACCATTTGAGAAAGGATGAGCAATTGGACTAGAGGAAGCAAAGTTGTCAAATCGCAGGATCGCTAGACATTTTGCTCAGAATAATGTTTCCATTTGACAATGTTGGCAGGAATTGGTGAAATGGACGTACAGAGCATCAATAAGGTAATGGGTTGCCTGATGCATTCTTGTCAACAATATGACGTGTAACCAGGACACAAGTGACTGCAATGATCATTGAAAGACAACTCAGCAAAGAGGGGCTGAGGTCACATAAGTCATTGTGCCGACTGCCCCTCAGTGCACTCCCAGGCATGTTTTCAGCAGTGCCAGGTGCATATGACCTGGGATGTCACAGACTAGATTAAAATTGTTTCAGTGATGAGTCCCATTTCGAATCGAACCCTGATGACTAGTGAAGACATGCCTGGAGATGTCAAGGACAGCTGTGAGATAATCACCTGACTGGCATCCACCATACAGTTCAACTGCCAGGAGTATGGAGTGCCATTTCGTTTCATAGACAGGGCCTTTTGATTGTCATCTGTGACACTCCTACAGCAAAGTAGCATATCAACTAAATTCTATGCCCCGCAGTGTACCCCTTCCTTTCACAAACTCCCTATGCTTGTATTTCAACAGGATAATGCCTCGCTGCTCACAGCACATGATCTCTTTCCAATAGAACATATTTGTGCTGTGATGAGTAGGCATCTCTATCCATCCTTGGATCTTTTATAGAGCACGGTAAATGCTTCTTGAAAAATCTAATGCAATGGTATGTTGCTTATAAAATAATTATTGACGTTTTTTTCACCTTTTATTTTAGATACTTCCAACATTGAGCAGTTAGAAGCTGTTACAAGTTCTATGAGAGCTGTTTTGAAAAAACTGGCTGAAACAGACTGTTCATCTGAATTCAGCTGTACAACAGAAAAAGACTTGGATCTACTTATAGACATGTATCAGACTGTTCAAGAACCAAGTATAAAAGTGAATATCATACATGCCTTAGGAACTATAGGATGTCTTCTTGGAAATTTAAAACTACCAACTACTCATGTATTAATAGGTGTAAGTATCTTTGAAAAAGTGATTCTAAATTATACCTTATTTTTCCTATCTATAACTTAATTATATTAATTGGAAAAAGATTTAGTGTAAAATTTAAATCTTAAAATCATCTGTGATTTTAATGATTTGTTAAAAAATTATACGTGATTTTAAGATTTAAAATCTAAGTTTCAACTCAGTGTCTTATGATCATAAATATAAAATTTTCCCCCCAATCTACACCTTAATCATCTGCAATAAAATTGTCTAAAAAATGTAAAATTTAAATCTTTGGAGCCTATAAAATTCTTAATATTTGTTTAGAATTACACATTCATGTTTAAGATAATGAAGAATTTGTATGTATATATGTACAAAAATGGGACACTTAAATTTACCAGATTTTGAACACACGTAGCCCTTCACTCGAACGCACCTTGAAGCCTGAATTTTGAATTTTTCTTATTTTTTATTTATTTTATATTTTGTGTGAAATTAATGCAATTTGATTGATAAATTCACCAATGATGTTTATGTTTTAATAAAAAATCTCAGCAAATTAAAAGAAATGTGTTGTCACTGTCCTAAATAAAATATTTTAATCTTTGATGCACCAGTGTGTTGTCTTTCAGCCAATACGTTTAGATATTTTTCTTTTACATTTAATATTTCTCTTATTGATTAAAAAATTTAGCCATTTAAAAGAAATAAAGGCCATTCTTTATCTCTAATATTATTGATTACTACCTGGATGCAAAAAATTACACTAACAAAACTCAAGCAGCTACTTAAATTTAAATTGTACACTAAATTCTAAATTCTTCACCTTAGAATTTAGATTCAAGATTTAAAATTCTAATTGTTTTTAATGGCTGCTCATTGTCTTGTGGCAGACATGACAGATTCACTTTTGAGTCCCAGTGGTTAAGGTATTTCCTGAAACGGTTTGACTTTTATTACTAGATTTATGATTCAGTTGTAATCTGACAGTTTTTAGGGTTCGTACAGTACTTAAAAGTACTTAAAAGTCCTTAGTTTTTTTTTTTTTTTTTTTTTTTTTTTTTTTTGAAAATAGTTTTTGGTCCTTAAAAGTTTTTTTATTTTGGCCAAAGCCAGGAAAAGGTGCTTAATTTTACTCATCTAACATTTCTGTTCGTTTCTTAAATATTGCCATTTTGAGTGTGAAATAACATGTTGCAGGAATATGTTTTTTGACCAATATGTACTTGATGGGGTAAAGTTTGAATTCCTTCCTTCTTCTTAATATAAATGATGGATAATCGAGTTTTAGGCACGGGGCAACCCTGCCTCGATCAAAGCATAAACATTTCGAAATAATTTCTTTTTTGTGACTGAAGTGTTCTTAAAATATTACGCCAAAAACAGCTTTTCCCTTTTTCTTTTAGCATGCGGCACTAAATTTGTCGGCTTATCAGCATTTTGGCAATTTTAAGATTAGTTTGTATACAGGATTTTTTTATTCAGAGATTTGTGAAATTTTGACGATTTTTCATATATATATATATATATATATATAATAACATTGATAAATATCATCAAAATAATGAAAATTTTATATATTTAAGAAATAAACAAGATAATAAATGATATAAAGCATTCCGAAGCATCCTTAGAAAAACAAAAATGCTACTGTAATTATTTAAAAATTAATTTCATTTGTCTTTTATGTTTTTTTAGGATATTTGTTTTTTTTCCCATATAATTGTTTCAGAATATTTAAATTTGTCTCAGTTTTCTCTTGAAAATTAAATTACACTTTTCCTTTCTGAAATTTCTTTTTAATCTTCAGGCATTTACAGAGTTGGTTGGGTATAACGTTTTGTTTGGATTTTAGACCCTGCATTTCAGATCTAAAGGCAAGATTTATAGATTATTATTTTGAAGGCAAGGTTTATAGACCTAACATTTCCAGTAAAATGTGAAATAATGAAAACTGTCTTCATGGTATTAACATATTAACACATAATGGATGTGTTTTATAGGAAATTTATGGTGAATTTCTCATCTTTTGGAGAATTTTGGGAAAAACAGTGAAAACAAAAAATATTTAAATTTTCTCCTTTTGATCCCAGAGGTCTTTTGTTTAACATGTTTATCTTCCTTTTAGTTTCTTATCTTTGCATTGAAGCAATCAAATTTATTCTTAATACTCATGTTATTAAAGAAATAAAATTAGTAGTTTCTTCTACACATTTAAAGTACAAGCAGTTCTTTAGAATAACAGAAATCTTTAAATGTGAAAATTCTAAATTAAAGAGAAAAATCACTGAAAAAGAGATTGATTTCTTAAAGAGAGAGAAAATTTTTCTTCAAAGGTACATTGTTGAAACATTATCAAATTAGGAGATGAAGGAGAGACTAGTGGAAACATTAATTTGTTTATTGGAACAAATAAACTTCGAAATGAGGGTAAAGAGAAGGAAAATGATTTAAATTAACATTTAATGTATAGTTATAGTAATATAATTTTAGAATAAAAATCATACATTCTAACTGCTGTAAAATGTTCTTAGTGCTTTTTCAGTGGATATTTTTTAAAAATTAAAAAAAAAAAAAAAATATTGTGACCATGTAAATTTGTTAAGACAAAGGGTATCTAACTAATAACTCACCTTTAGAAGTTACCTCTGCATGTTAAGGTGAGTTTTCTCAATTTTCTTCATCCTTTTTGTAGTTGCAAGATACAACACAAAAATGTAAAAATCGGATAAAGCTTTACTTCTTACAGCTAATGAGACTTAAATATTACAAAACAACCTATCATCTTTGGTGCTTCCAGCAGCTTATTGGAATTTTATATTAATTATGGTATATTAACTGGGTTACAACTCCAGAAAATCTACATGAAGTTACAATACTAACTAGGTTAGATGAAGTGCATATAACTTTCAACACTTACCAACCATACATCAGGCATTCATATCTGTTCTGATCAGCAGTTCTCTGTCTCTAAGCAAGCAGCTGTGGTGGCAACAGCCAAGCTTTTCTTATGAGTTATGCTGATTATTATTTTATTTCAAAATTTAACTTGACATTAAATTTGCATATAGTACTTCTGGACTGAACTGAACAAGTACATGACAAAATGAAGCATAAAATAAAGAATCGGTGTAAAACTAATTGCTAGTGAATTTAAATAAAAAACTACTAATCTTTAAAACATGTTGGACTAATATAAGTGTAAAATATAAATGTTTCAAGAAATTTTATAATTTTATAATGCTAATTACTTGAAAAAAATGTATGAAGCTAATTTAATTCTTGAATTTGTTTTAAATATTAGATTATGTTAAATAATAATGTATCCTACATAACTATTATTTTATTCTTTCAAATTATAAAAGTGAAGTTCAGTTCTCGATATTTGCTCTAGTTTATTCAGTTCCTATTTGCTTGATAGGTCCTTAATTTTTTCCTTTTTGATGGTCCCTAAAAGTCCTGCATTTTCACATGCAGAAGTATGTATGAACCTTGTTTTTTTTTTTTTTTTTTTTTTTTTTTTTTTTTTTTTTTTTTTTTTTTTTTTTTTTTTTTTTCTCTCTGTAAAAATCATATTTTAACTCTTTGAAATAAGAATTCTTATTTTTTATCAGACAAATTAAAATACACATGGAAACGGGCAATTGACAGGTTTGTTCGTGACTGTAGTTAAAATTTTGTTCTGTAAATTATATGTGAATGCAAAGACATTAACCTTCCCAATAAGACCAGGAGACTTCCATCATTCTGTCTCTTTGTGAATCTTTGAATTTCTGGTTTTTATCTAAATTTAGATCATCTATTTCAAATGCGATTCTAGAAGAAGTGTTGAAAAATAATTTTGAAAAAAAAGATAATGCTGTGAAAAGTTTTATCAAAAATTCTTAAAAGAAAGCGCAAGGCCAGTATTGTTATTTCTAAATGAAACTAATTCTGAAATTCAGTTTTTTTCAAGTGATTTTCAGTGTATTTTTCATTACTTTTTATTTGATCTGAATGGCTTAAATCCATTAGAGTAAACCCTTGCTGAACACATGGGTTATGTTATTAATACATTGCATGTAAGGCAAAATTGTGTTCCGCAAAGTTAACGTTCTATAGAAAAACAATTTATTAGATATAGTTCACATTAAGGAAGTATGTATACTTTATACAAACCTAAATATTATTGTAATTAAAAGAAGAAATGAATCAAATGTTGATTGAAAGGATTTCTTTTACTGCTTAGTAAATAGGTACATAATGCAACTATTTTTTTAAGGGCTAGTATTTTTGCTTGAGATAACGTCTGATGCAACTCGGTAAACATTTCATGATAAGGAGTGCTAAGTTTTTCAATACCTTCCAAAGCATCATCTTCTTTTGGCATCTGGGTCAATCTCCATTACAAAATAAAACATTTTCTGTGTGCTTTATAACAATTCGTTCAAATCCTTGTATGTTGATGACTCTTTTACCACTGACTATCATATTTTTTACCACTGATTTATAAGATCATCCCATTCTTCATTTGTGATTTCACTTTTATCATTCTCGGCTAATTCTTTGATTTTGCCTTCTTCTGTATCTGAAAATACTACACCACCAATTGTGTTTGCAGTTTGTACAATTTCCTTGGCTTCACTTTCAGTCAATGGAAATTTCTTAAAGTTATTGACAACTTCTGGCTAGAGTTAATGCCAACAAGTGTTCATTGTTGATGAATTTGCATCTTCCCATGTGAGTTTAATCATTTCTGTGCAGCGTCTTATGTTAAATTGCTTCCAAGATGTCATTAATGTGTCATACTTTCCTTTCTCTGGTGCTTTATTTTTACTGTGCTATAATAAGCGCTGAATGTTTTTTTGATTGCTTAATCCATTGACTGGGTTAAAAGGAAGTGGTGTTTGATGGGCTTCAGCTCTGTGTCTTTAAGCATTGCTTAGAATTAGGAGAACTTTAAAGCTCAGGTTTTGCTGTTCTGAGTAATGTTGGAATTTTAACGGATGAATTTTGAAACAATTTGAATGAATTTTGAAAAT